TTCAATATAATGGAAAAGAGACCCGGGGGCCATAGGTTTCACTAGTGGCTTCTCTCAAGATAGCAAATATTATGATGGGTGAACAAATTACTGCCGATCAATTGATAGAAAAGCGCATAGTTATGACGATATCTAAGGCAATGATCATACACATAGGCATCACGTCCGTGTCAAGTAGACCGACTCCTGCCTGCATCTACTACTATTACTGCACAAATCGACCGCTATCCAACATGCATCTAGAGTATTAAGTTCATAAAGAACGGAGTAACTCATATCCAATCCCATATTTATCAAGATTCATGTTGGAAAACAAAAATTTAATAGGAGTCACATCAATCACTTTTAGATCTTCATCATTATTATCATGAAAACTAGAAGAACACGCTTTTACAAATCAATCTTTTTTTGCACGCATCTTAGCGATTCTTTCTTTGCACTTATCAATGGAAATTCTCATAGATTTGAGAGACTCATTGATATCATGCTTAGGTGGGATAGATCTAAGTTTCAAAGAATCACCATCAAGAGAAATTCTATCCACAATCCTAGCTAAATCTTCAATCTTGAGAAAATTTTCTTCAATCAAAGCATTGAAATTCTTTTGCGAACTCATAAATTTTTTAACACTATTTTCAAAATCAGAGGGTATCTTATTAAAATTTCTATAAGATTTGTTGTAGGAATTACCATAATTATTAGAGGAATTACTAGGAAACGACATAGGATTAAAATTGCCTCTATTCGGGTTGTTACCAAAATTGTTCCTACCAACAAAATTCAAATCCAAAGATTCATTATTATTCTCAATCAAAGTGGACAAAGGCATATCATTAGGATCATAAGAAACAATTTTATTAGCAAATAATTTCATAAGTTCATCCATCTTTCCACTCAAAATATTAATCTCTTCAATCGCATGAACCTTTTTACTAGTGGATCTTTCGGTGTGCTATTGAGAATAATTAACCATAATATTATCTAGGAGCTTAGTAGCCTCTCCTAAAGTGATTTCCATAAAAGTGCCTCCCGCGTCCGAATCTAAAAGATTTCTGGAAGCAAAAATTCAACCTGGCATAATTTTTTGTATAATCATCCACAAATTCAAATCATGTGTAGGGCAATTACGTATCATCAATTTCATCCTCTCCCAAGATGGTGCAACATGCTCATGATCAAGTTGCTTAAAATTCATAATATCGCTCCTAAGGGAGATTATCTTAGCGGGAGGAAAAATGCTTAGAGATGAAAGCATCTTTACACTTATTCCACGAATCAATACTATTTTTAGGCAAAGACGAAAACCAAATTTTAGCACGATCTCTAACCGAAAACGAAAATAACTTCAATTTAACAATATCATTATCCACACCTTTCTTCTTTTGCATATCGCACAAATCAATGAAACCGTTTAGATGTGATACGACATCTTCACTAGGAAGGCCAGAAAATTAATCTTTCATAACAAGATTCAACAAAGCGACATTAATTTCACAAGATTCAGCATTAGTAGTGGGAGCAATCGGAGTGCTAATAAAATCATTATTGTTGGTATTGGAAAAATCACACAATTTAGTATTATCTTGAGCCATCGTCATAAAGCAATCAAAAATAGGTTAGCCCCAAAAATAATATAAAATAGCATATAAATTCCTATTAAACATTTAAAACAGATAATATAATAGCATGAAACAATCAAAAATTATAGATACGTTGGAGACGTATCAGTAATATCATCTAATGTAAGTGAGTTGCTACTAATCCTACAAAAACCGATGTCATGCTCAATGGTCGGTTCCAACTTCAATTACTGAGCTCGGGAGATTTTTGGGTCCGGCGGGATATTATAAGAAATTTGTGCAAAACTATGGAATTAATGCTCAAACAGGCAAAGTAGTAAGACATGTGTTTTTGTCAACATGATGAGTCTATTAAACACTTATTTCTTGAGTGTAAGTTCGGTCGTGCAGTATAGGCCATAGTTCAAGTAGCTTCAAATCTATACTCCCAACGTAGGGCACGTAACATGTTCGACAATTAGTTGCTAGGTATTGATAAACAATTTTCTGCACATATTCTTGTGGGCGCAGCTGCCTTGTGCTGGGCATTATGGCTTACCAGGAATAATGTGTTTTTTAATAATAAATATGTTTCCTCTTCTGTGTAGGTTATTGTTTGCCCCGCCCTAGGCTGGATTGATTTATTTTTCGATCGTTTGGACTTGTTGGTTGTGTGCATCGTGTTATGCAGAGGCCGAGTGTTCTTTCGATGATGCTGTATCACCTTGATAAATCAATTCAATGAAATGTCCTTTATCAAAAAAATAAATATATATGATACTAATGTATGATCATGATTTTTTTCTCGATTTTGATTTTTTCCGGTAGGGACCGGAAAAACCGGTTTCTAGTAAATCTCGGAACTTTCAGATTTGTTTCACCCGAAGTTTTCAAATGACATTTGAATTTGAATTTTCCTTGTCACATAATATAAAAGAATTGTTTAAGACTGTTTAATGTTTAACACAATTTGTCACCTGTTCTAGTGGTCAACCCGTCTAACCTTTCTTCGTTAGATCGTGTGTTCAAACCACCCTTCCCGCTAAAGCCAGTTGGCAAAACGGGGATACGGTCCTACGACCCGGTGAAGTAAACAACAATATTTAGATTTTTCGGTGGGTAACAGGAAGGCCAGTTTTTGAAAATCTCGGCCGAGATTGAAAACCCTATATATATGATACGTCTTTTATTACCATGCATGGCACATGTAATATGGTATTAACTCAATACTACTCCTTTTTTATATTTAATTATGTGTCACTTCACCAGAGATATACATGATACTCTCATTGTCACCAACTCAAGACTCAGACTCTTTGAGCTTTCCTTATAGAAGTGGGAAGTGATCATACGATCGAGACACCGCTAGGATCATAATATTTTCACAGACTGCAAATAAACACCGGATCAAATACATAAACTCCTCACTCAAATCTTTTAGAAAAAATATGGAGGCTCTCCATATGTAAATGAAACCACCAACAAGATTCAGCAAAAGTGTGATAAAAGAAATTACAAACTGGAGCAAAGCTCAGCGTCAAACTAAAGTTTGAGAGCTAAAATAGAAGGCCAGGTGGCAGAAACACTAGTCCAAATTAAGTCTGTTAATTAGTACAAGCACAAGGAAGCATTACAAGAGTGGAAGACAGCCTCGCACAAACTGGACATGTTGAGACGTTCTAGCCGAGAGTGGTGACCAGGGGACGTCCAGGGGACTCCTCACTCATAGCAAGCCTTGTATGATCTAGTTCGGTGAGCTCAGCTGGTTCAGGTTGGGGGCACGGCTGTGGCTCCAACGACTGGGTTTTGAGGTGCTTACGGGAAGGACTGCGATCACGGCCAGGGAGGGTTTTTTTTTTCGAAAAGGGGGGCTTCCAAGGCCTCTGCGTCAGAAAGATGCATACGGCCACATTTATAAATAAATAAAGTAGTTCAACAATGTCTTGCAAAGTGCTGCAACAAAGGATACTGGCTCACACAGAGCAAGCAAAATAACACAAGGTCCAAAAGCCACAACCGGCTGGCATAGTGAAGAGAGATAGGTAAACTAAGCGCCTACCCTATTACATGACCGCCATCCAAACCGGTTGAAGAAATCCCGCGCTACCATCTCCCACCGGACAGATCCAGTAACCAAACGCGCCCTGGCCTCCGTCGAAGTGAGTAATGAGCACGTACGGATTAGCGCAGTAGCCCGGAATAGAACCTGCAAAAAATGAATAGTTGTTGTTCTGTTAAAAGCCAAGTCATTTCTGCAGTTCCAAATTGCCCATAACAACGCACATGCTCCCACACGAATTTATCTAGCTGTTTCGGCCTCTATACCATCCAGCCACGTTCCAAACAACGACCTGACCGAATTCGGAGGAGTAATGTTAAAGGTAATCTGCACCGAGCGCCACAACACCCTCACCATCGGGCACTCAAAGAAAAGATGCTTGATAGTTTATCCCGATCACAGAAACTACACCTAGTAGATCATGTCCAGTTGCGCTTAATCAAATTATCTTTCGTTAGAACGACTTGTTTATGCACAAACCACATAAACACTTTGATTTTGAACCTTAACTTTCCAAACGTGTTTGGAACTAGGAATTACACTAGAATTGATGACATCAATGTACATCGACTTGACTGTGAATTCACCAGATTTAGTAAGCTTCCAACACAACTGATCGGGCTGATGAGTAAGCTGAACCTCCATGAGTCTACTCACCAGATGAATCCAAGCCTCCCACCGGTCACCCACAAGCACCCTCCTAAATTGGATATTAAGAGGAGCAGATTGCAGACTCGTTGCAACCAGAGCATCCCGTCGCTGCACAATGCGATAAAGCGCCGGATACTGGAGTGCCAGTGGAGCATCACCTAGCCAGGTATCTTCCCAGAATCGAGTGTTATTGCCATCACCGACAACAAACTTTGTTCTGTTAAAGAAAGTAGCTTTGACCCTCATTAACCCCTTTCAGAAGGGCGAATCAGTGGGTCGAGCCGTCACCCGCGACAAGGTTTTAGAGTACAGATACTTGTTACGAAGAATCTGCGCCCAAGTTGCCTCGGTCTCGGCAGATAACTTATAAAGCCACTTACTTAGAAGGCATCTGTTCTTAACTTCAAGGTTCTCAACCCCAAAACCCCCTTGGTCTTTTGGTCGGCACATGACATCCCATTTGGCTAGGCAGTACTTTCTCTTAGTTTCATCGCTCTGCCAGGGAGGGTATGAGAAGTGCAGCAACAAACACAGGCAGTTGCCAGTCCCTGCTGGAGCCGGCGGTGTAGGCCACTAGCAGAGTCAGCAAATCAAGCGCGATCACCGCGCGCATCGTCCAGCCATACCGTTCTTCCCTCTTAAGCAACTGTATCAGCAGCAGCAGTATGGTGACAATAGACCAGCCGAAGGAAGTGGAGTTGCTGTAGAAGAAAACAAGGTACTGCTGCCTCCTATTGTCCTTCATGGCCGGCCCACCTGGGTCGTGCCCGCCTTCGTCGCTCTGCCAAACTCCGCCTGGCGGATCTAGGCCGGCCTGGTACCACCAGGATTCCTAGCAACATCAGGTGTTTGTGCTCGGCGTGTTGCTTTTTCTTTGCTCGTTTAAATACGAGCTCCCCTTCCTGGGCATTTATCATGATGGGGTCCTCTTCGTGTGCTTCTACCCTCATCAGCCTGCTCAATCTCTGCTTAGTATCCCTGACCAAGAATGTTACCAGCAGCCCAGCTACAATCATAACGTATGTTTTCACATATTGTGTGCTCCCAACGACATAGGCACCCATCAGAACAGACGACCCCACAGCCGTGCAAAGGGTTAGTGCGTAGCTTCGTATGGCTGGCCTGTACAGCACCGGGCTCACCAGGAGAATCATGGTGCTGACCGAAAGCATGAAGCTTAATGAGCTGCAGAACAAGAAGGCACTGTAGCGCCGCGGGAAGTTGGGCAGGACGACCGGGCTGCCTGCCTGATACCCAGACTCATCGTCATCCTGGACACGGTAGCCACCTGGAGGGTTCAACCCGGCATGGTAACTCATAGCTGTCGACAAGGTTGCCAAGAGGTAAAGCAGCTTGCGCTTCTTCTCCACCTCCTCTTGCTCCACATAAAAATTGATGGCCTCTTTTTCGAGTGTGAAGAAGATAACATGGATCACAACGTAGAATATGACGGCGCCGCCCAAAGCCAGGACATAGATGGACGTGATTACATTCTTGCTGACCCCAGCAGTGTATGCGCCGATGAGGCCGAACAATTCCAGCATCATAACTGCCTCCACCTTGTGTGCCCCTAGGCCCCTGACAAACTTGGACAGGAACATGATGATGGTGACCAAGGAGAGCATGAACGCAAATGAATTGCAGTACAAGAAGGTCCTGTACCGGCTAGCATTCATCGACAAGAGGATCGGGTCGCCGGCGAGGCGACCGTTACCGTTTTCCTGCCAAACGCCACCGGGCGGATCAAGCCCTGCTTGGTAAGTGATAGCCGTCGCAAAGGTGGACATTAGTAGAAGAAGCGAGAGAGACTTGTGACTCTGCTGAAGCTCCACACCTGAAATCTCAATCTCTGTTGAAACCCGCTGCCTATGGAGAAATTAAAGAGAGTTGAATTAGTTGCAAACTACTACTCCCTCCGTTTTTATTTACTCTGCATATTATATTTCACTGAAGTCAAACTTTCACTGAAGTCAAACTTTATAAAGTTTGACCAAGTTTATAGAAAATAGTATAAACATTTACCATAACAAATCTATATGATGTGATGAAAGTACATTCAACGATGAATCTAGTAGTATTTATTAGTTATTGTATATGTTAATATTTTTGTTTAGAAACTCCGCCTATGGAGAAATTAAAGAGAGTTGAATTAGTTGCAAACTACTACCACCTCTGTCTTGGTTTATTAGTCCTTATTGTATTCCGTGCCAAAATTTGACCATAAATTTAACTAACAAAATGTTCATGCATGTCATAAAAATTATATCATTGAAAACTATGTTCAAATACGAATCCAACGATATAGGAGTAATTTTTATTGACATGCATTAACATTTTGTTAGTTAAATATTTGATCAAAATTTGGCACAGATTACAAAGGGAACTAATAAACCAAGACGCTAGTTAGTACTGGGAGTAGATTGCAACCATCAAATAATATTTGGCAATGGAGTGATTCTTATGACAAGATGGAGACGACGTATGTAGTACAGAATTACAGATTCCACTCGATCTTCTTGTAGTAAGGGGGTGTTTGTTTCCAGGGGCTTTTTTGTGTAGGGACTAGAAAAAGTCCTTCTTAGAGACTTTTTTACCAACGGGAGAGACTTTTTAGGGACTAAACTAGGCATTTGGGACTAAATGAAGAAGACTCCCAAGGAGAGTCTTTTTTGGGACTTTTTCAACAATGTCCCTCCATGCATCCATTGGCCCGCCACCCCATGGTGTTGTTTCATTGTTTTTTTCTATATACTAGGGGCAACATGGTCATTTAATAATCTTTAGGAAGGGACTAGGGACTTTTTAGTCTCTGAAAACAAACAGGGAGGGACTTTTTAGGGGCTAGGGACTTTTTAGTTGGGACTAGAAAAAATCCTAGAACTTATGAACCAAACAGGGCCTAAGTACGTACCTGTAATTATCTTGAGGCCACAACCAAGATTTGACTAGAATGCATGCTAGACTGGCAGCAACCACAATGAGCACATAGGCAGTAGCGCCATCCTCCCTGCAGCTGCCTGCAGCGTATGCCCCGACAAGGCCGGCCAGCGCGACTAGGATGCACCCATACATCTCGCGAGACCGTGCCGTCTGCTGGTGAAGCTTTCTGCTCAGGAGCAGCATGATGATTAGCAGTGATGCCATGAACGCTGTGGAGTTGCAGATGAAGAAGGTGACCAGGCGTGCCTTGTGGTGACCATCGCTGAGAATCGAGTCTCCCGCGCGGTGCCCGCCCCCGGTGTTGTCCCAGAAACCGCCCGGTGAGTTCAGCCCAGACTCGTACGTGATGCTTAACACGAACGTTGTGAGCAGCATCAGCACCTTGCGGAGCCGCTCTTCGAGTTGGACCTTGTTCTTGTCTGGGTCTGCTGGAAGAGGAGGAAACTTTGCACGCCGCGCCACCACCGCCTGGACTATGAAGTAGGTGAGGATCCCAGTGGCCATTAGCACCAAGGTGTAGACGGTTGTGAACTTATCGCGGCAGCTCCCCGCAGCGTAGGCACCCATGAAGCTGAGCAGGTCAAGCACCGTGAGCACACGCAGCGGCTTGACTTTGAACCACTTCTCCTGCTTCTCGACCAGATTGATGGAGAGGAGCAGGAAGAGGACGATGACCAAGACCGATGAAGCCAACGCGAAGGCGTTGCAATAATAGAACACCAGGTAACCGTGAAAGTTGTTGGTCCTGGCGATTGGTTGGCCAGCGAAGTGGCCGGCGTGGCCATGGTTTTCTTGCCAGACACCCCCCGGCGGGTTGAACCCCACGCCGTGTGTCACCGTGGCCAGCATCAGGATGTACTTCCGCAGGATGTACTCCCATGACTCGAGTTTGGGTTCAGGCCCCATCACAGCCACCGGCTCCTGCTCCATGACCATCTCCATCTCTTCACACTGAATTGATGTCATTCTATGTGCAAGGTTGTTTCTTTGGTTGATTGCTGCAGAATGTGCAATGGCAACTTATATTGCAAAAGCTCACTTGCTTATAAACTAGTAGCAGTAGACTAGCTATAGCTAGTAGCAGCAGTCATCTCCTCTAAAAAAAAAGGACCAATGCCGCTTCTTCTTGGTCTTTACTATTCTATTCACCAAAACTTGAGTCATAGGGAAGATGCTTTCTCTTGGATCGAATCTCTTGCCGTTCCGCAACAAATTAAAGAAAACGTCAGCAATTTATAAACCAAGACGGGCTGCTAGTCTTTGCTATGAAATTCCCAGTTTCCTACCATGCATTGCTCTGTCTACAACGACTCTTATTATCAAATGGATTCGTGCAGTCTCTGATAGTCCTAGTCCTCCTGTTCCCTTTTGCCTTCTCAAATCTCGTCTTGTTGGCATCTTTATTTTATACAATCAACTCCAAAGTTCAAAGAATGCTTAAATAACTTCTGTTTGTAATCTTCTGTTGTTTCTATTCTTTCTGTATGTACTACTACACCACAGGCTTATGTTCACACGTAAAACTTATCACCCACCCACAACCCAACAAGACCCCCCACCACCCAAAAAAAGGACCTAAATTGTTTATTATCCACGTGCTACTTGCCGGCTTGATTGTTGTTGATCCCAACAAACGCAAAAACAAGCGACCAAGTTCCCCCTCACACGTCTTCTCTAATTATTACTTTCGGGTGTATTCATCAGGACTTGACTCATTAGGAAGATGCCTTGTCTTTGCTAGGCAATTTCAAGACGTAATATCACCGGGGGCACTACAAGAAATATGTCAACTTGTGACCACCACTATTGATCACTGGAAGGTCATAGTTTTTCATTTGCGACCATTCTGTGACCAAAAACAGAAGGTCAAAAGCTGGCGGTCGTAAACTGACTATAGCGACCTTCTTTGCGATGTGTAAAAGGTCGTTGGTTCCACGACCAAATTTTTGGTCACAAGCAACATCCCCAGACCACGTAGGCATCCAGCATGGCAAGCTGATGTGGCACAAGAATCAACCCGGTCCGATTCAGTGTTTTACATGGGCCAAGCCCAACAATTCAGCCTATTTGTGTTTTTTTCTGTCTGTCAATTTTTAGTTGGGTTCATGGGCCAAGCCCAATATCGCAATCTTTTTATTGTTAGGCCATGGCCTTTTTGTCTAAACTATTTCATTTTCCTTTTTTTATTAAATGGGTCCACTAATCAGGTTCTTGTAACTGGGTCCCATTTTTCATGTTCTGGTTAGTGGGTCCCATCGATCAGGCTCATATTCTTCATATTTCAACCAGTATTTAAATTGCCAAACAAAAAGCACACATATACTTCAAATAAGAGCAACCAGATCACATATACTTCAAGCTCTATACGTGCCAATACATGACCATGTGGAATACAGTACTTTCAAGCTCTACAAGTGTACTAACGAGCTCTACAAGTGTAATACAGTACTGCTTTACAAGAAAATGACAACATGTCAGACTCGCTGGACGACTGTAGTTAGATGAACAACATGACAGACTCGCTGGACGACCGTAGTCAGATGAACAACATGCCAGACTCACTGGACGACCGAAGTCAGGGCTGGCAACAAACAAAACTGCAACATGGCTTCCGCTGTCACCCTGTTACATGAATGAGAGAAGAATAAGAAAAATTGGGGCAAATATATTGAACAGACCATTCAAGAAAATGACATTTATTTAGAATGATAACACAAATTGAGCTAGTGCCATGCTTTTTGTCCTCCAACTAGTTAAAATGACATACCCATACATACAAGAAAACAGATACATAATATGAATATGCATGGCTCAAGTGCAAGTCATGCAAAAAACTTCAGCAGGCTCTCTTCAATTGTTCAACTTAAATGGGTGGTTTTGATCAAATATTATCGATGCAACACTTGGCATCACTAAACTACAAGTCCAAAGTCAAGCCCGCCGTTTTGACCGTATTTTGAAACGGGCATAAAAAATTCAAAAAAATCAAAAAATTGGAAAACCTTCGCATTGTGTCATTATATGTTACCAAGTTTACAGGAAAAATAATAAACTTGTAATACAATAATTATTTTAAAAAAGTGTTCTCAGAAATGAGCTATCATGCGTGAAGATTCATGGCTTTCAAGCCAAATAATCAATCTTATGGCCACATTCATGGCATAATTTGTTCAAATGATCACATATTGTGCACAAGGGTGCATATTGAAATGGCAAACAATTTTGCGTAAGGAAGTTTTCATTTTCTTTGGACGAAAAAACCATTTTCCATTTTCTGAGTGCCTGAAATGAGGGTTTTTTTGTGAAGGACCTACCATATATTTGTTACAAAATTGGACCTAATCAATTTGATAAAATACTAGGCCATATTTAATGCACAATTGACAAAATAGTTGGGTGTCAAATACTTTGATCCACCTCTGGTGAAAAAGAGAAATTCCCGTCGATTCAGCTGGAAGCGGGTCAAATTTGAACTGCAGCTGCCTCATAGTTTGCTCTTTATTTTTTCCAAAAATCATTTCTAGGTAAATAAGTATCTATTTAATCAGAAATACATGGTTTGATGGCGAGACATCGAGGTTTGGACGGTGGCCGAGGGCCCCAACTCTAGAGCGCGTAAGCTCGCATGCCCGCCGCATGGTCACCGCCTGACCGTGGCATTGCCATGTGTTCTGGGCGTCCTAGGCATGTCTAGTGGGTTGGGCACTTCCCAGGTAGGTGCTAGGAAGAAAATCACAACATAAGATTCTCACGAGGAGACCGATCGATGCTCAAACATGAATAAGCAGCCAAGTGTTTGATTTGTGATACGGGAAATGCACATGGCTAATGGGCGTGAGTTTTGGCTGAGGATGATCAGTTACTAAGAAGAATGTCTTCACAAATTTTTAGGGAAATCAAGAATATATAAATAACACTTCCTTCACAAAGTGCTGCTCTGAACAAAATAGGAAAATGAATATTGTTGAGTTATTTTTGAACTAGGCAAGGAAGGTTTTTGACATATTTGATGAAGATATGATCCAAACAATTTATGATAATTTTTTGGGAATTTTTGGAATAATAGAAATATAGGTTGCTTCACAACCTAGGGCAAAAATTGACACATGGACATGACACATAGGCAAAACTGATGAGGTGGCGCCTAGTCATAGCAATAAATACTAATGCATCTATGTCCACAATCTCATGACCATTTATATTGGTCGTAATCAGGTAGAAATAAGGTCATGGACCACTCTTGTCTGCTTTTATGACCATTTGGTCTAAGGCAATTCAGGGTTTGAGCCCTTCTAAGCGAAATGGCTGTGGATTTACGACCAATTCAGCTAGGGTCACTAAGAGAAGGTCACTAGTTGACATATTTCTTGTAGTGGGGTCATGGAACTTGCGCTCGATGTTCAGTTTAGTGCTAAAACTTTAAAAATACGGATTTGTGGTCATCCAACTTGCGTTCTCATGCAAATACGGTCACTTTGCTCGCATTCAGACGTATTCTGTGCTTATGTGGCACACCGACATGGTTGTGGCCCACTGTTAGTGACTGAAACAGCTTGGCATGTTTTTTTCTATGCGGAAGCACCCTTGTTCTGTATTTAATTTATTTAATTGAGCATAAGTCCCTCCGAGGGTCCCACTTGTCAGCATGAGTGAAGGGAGAAAGTAGAATAAAAAGTGCACACGCACAAATTTGAACTCCAGACCTCGAGTACATGCATGCACAAGCAAACCACTGCACCGACTACATATTCCTGCCTATAAACAGGCACACCTGATTATATTATAAATAGGCACCGACTGGTCGTGAGCGAGAATTTTTTTCGATTCCATTTTCTTTTGAGAATGGCCACAAAATTCGGGTTTTAAAATATCTTGGCAGTTCCAGTTTTTTATCGACCAAAATTTCTAAATGAATTTTGAATGAGAACTTCCACGGAATGAACATTTTCTTTTGTTCGGTATGAGACGAACAATCAAGTATTTTTATATTGTAATACAAATAATATTTAATCATTCGCTCATATTTGTAATCACGTTGGGGTAAGTGTGAGTCTATATTCCATTTGTGATGTAGGGGGAATGGACACATTTTCTTTTTTGAAAAATTATTACACGTCCATTGATTTAATTGATGAATAATGTGGTCCATAGGCAACTGTCAAATGCATGGTCCGTCGGCCACGTCCTGCCCCTGTCGGCCGCGCCCCATCACCGCGCCGGCCGCGCCCAGCCCCACCGGCCATGCCCCGTCGCCTCCGTCGTCTGTGCCCAGCCTTGCCGGCCACGCCTCGCAGCCTCGGTCTGAGAGAAAAAGAACGTGAATACGAGTAGTTGTCATGGACAATATATAAAATTTGGTGTTTCTCTTTGTACACTGATAGGTACTTAGTGTAGCGGTTAGCTCCTGTGCTTCCACGCTCGAGGTTGAGAGATCACCATCATTTTTTATTATATTTGATGGTTTTATGCACAATTAAATAAATTGCAAGGGGGGTCTCTATAAAAAATTCGGTCTGCTATGGTCACCTAACGTCTTGTGCTCTTCCAACCACTGATAGATGGGCCTCCACCAGGCTGGCACGCCATGTGGCTGGATACGAGAGGAAGCATCGTATTTGCATACGGGGACAAGTTATGTGACCATAAATCCGTATTTTTAAAGTTTCAGCACTAAACTGAACATTCAGTGCAAGTTTTATGACCCCGGTGATATTACCTCCAATTTCAATCAATCCTAACAAGCACGTACGCTCTGATAGGTCTAGTAGTACGTCCTCCTTTTCTGTTTTACATGTTCTTTTTCTACAACTTGTGCTTTTTTTTCACACGTCAAACTCATCACCCACCCACTCTCCCTGTCTCCCACGACCCGAGCATGTAGAACCACACATGTCAAATCTGCCCCCACAAATTTCAAAGAAAAAAAAAATCTGCCCCCACAAGTGTAACACTAGGCAAAAGGGGTA